TTATGGTGGTTATTTGCTGAATAAGTGGTAGTCTTGAACTGAAGGCTTCAAAACTTTACAGCTTGTGAAAGTAATTATTGTAATTAGACATAGTGAGTGATCGCAAGTCCTGTGGTTGTTCGAGGCTCTCTCCTGTGACAGAAATATGAAGACATGACACTAACAGAGCCAAAGCTAATACAAGAAAGAGATGACATGATGGCGTGCAGAGATGTGCTTTCAAATAAATTATTATGTAAGTGAACAAATTTTTTGAAAGGAGCGAATAAAATTTAAGTAAACCAAACAGAACTCAAAGTGCTTATATATCATTTATATTCAGCGATACATATAATATTTAGTGTCTCTAAGATTCTCTGCCATCTTTTCTTTGTTTCCTATGATTTCCTTATATTTGCAAGTCATTTTCAACATTTCTTTTTAAATGAAAGTGCGTTGGACACTATTTTCTTATAGCTACATTGTCTTTTTTTTTCTTCTAAACTAATGTTGAACATCCCTGACGACAGAAGTATATCTGCTTTGTCAAAACTTCCTGCCTTTTCCAAATAACCGCAGTATAAAAGTCTGATTAAAGTATCAGACTCCCTGTGGTTTCAAAATTAACATTATATTAAATATTAAGATGTTTCTATGAATGTGATATTAGGTTAAAAAACAGAATAGATTTGAGCCTTTTTTGAATCTTTAATGATTAGCTTTGACTTTTAACCATAATCTTGACTAAAGTCAACAAAGAAGGTACAATTATTGTAATTGTAAGATTTTATTGACATATTCTCAAGAACATTGAAGTGATATGATTGTATTTGTAAATATTAAAGCCTTTTTTTAACTTTTCTTATAATATTAAGTAAGGATGCATGACATTATTGACGCGGTATTGGTATCGGCCGATATTAGCGATAACGTTAAATTTCGGACATCCACCATTCCATCAAAACAACTCACCGATATAAAAGATGCTGTTTTATATATATATATATATATATATTTTTTATTTATTTATTTTTTTTTTTTATTTATTTTTTTTCATTTACCTTTTATTTATACAGGTAGTCTCATTGAGCCATGAGGACTCATTTTCAAGTGAGACCTTTTTAGGGAGCAGATGGGGGTTAAGGGCCTTGCTCAAGGGCGTAGGGTGGGGCGAATGAGGGTGGGGGCAGGTGTGGGTGCTTCACCTACCCCACCCACATTTTTGATGTTGTCGGTACCGGGGCTTGAACCGGCAATCTTCCGATCACAGGCCCACCTTCTCTAGCCTCTGCGCCACCACTCCCCCAACCAATACACATATATATATATATATATATATATATGTGTATATATATATATATATATATATATATATATATATATAAATAATAGGTGCAGTTTTTGTATGACTGTTCGAGTGTTGTCATTGTGTTAGATAAAGTAAATATCATGAGTAAATTTGACATTAAATATAATCCAAGTTGAAGTGTTACATCATTTTCAGCCCCCTTTTTGGCATCAGCATTTGGTAGTAGGTCAAACTGACAAAGACCATGCAGAATAATGTAGTATTTTAATTTCACAGCAGAGAAAGCTATGTATTCTCTGTAAGTAGATGTATGTAAAACAATATCAATATTAGTATTGATTTTCGGCCAAATAAATTTTTAAATACTGTCATATTGGATATCTGCCAAAAATCCAATATTGTGCATCCCTGATACCAAGTAATTTCATTGTCTTAACCTAACCAATGCATAACAAAGGCGTTTTGGTAGAACAGTGATTTTTTGCTGCCAAAACCAGGAAGTGTCAAGCTTTTTGCCATATGACAGTGTCGAACCTGTTTTCCATTATTAAAGTCTGACCAGTCTCTACATATGTAATTGGATGATGTAACTTGTTGAAGAAGACACTTGTGTTGGTGGTTGCACAAAAGCATATTTTATATTAAAGTGTGTTCTTATTCAAATTTCATTTGCATTGTTTTTATTAAAAAATAAAATAAAAAATGAAAGAAAATGACTTCCAAAAACAAAGTCCGCATTATAATATTTTCAGTTTGAAAATATTTTTTCTATCATTAATTCTGCACCAAACAAGTCCTATCTTACATATATTATATGAGTGGAGCAAAGTCAAAGCTAAAATGACCACTTTATCTTTTACTGTATCACAGTTTACTTTTACCATATGTCATCAACTTGTTCTAAATACCTGGATTTATCCATTTATCTGTGGAAATTGTTTTTCAGCCTCCATCTGTTTGTTTAGTGTTACACAGGGAAAGGCTTTTCTCCGTGTCACTGTCTCCTCTCATTGACCAAAGTCCAGATTACTGCCGCCATCACGCTGTCTGCTGTTCATGTTGTCTGTGGCAGCTCAGTCAGGGGACAAGACCTTTGGACTTAAAGCTGTCTTTGCACTTGGGCCAGTGGGGCCTTGGCTTTGGATGTTTCCTCCACCTGTTGTGATAAGCAGATCTCTCTCTCTTTCATCTTGCCACTCTTCTACCCTCATGTCTTCCTTCATACCTTCATATACCTTTGTGAACCTCACAGAATAACTGTCTTGTATTTTTGTTATGAAGCACCTTTTTAGTCAGTTTTGTTTACTAGAAAACCTCTTTTGGTGCAGACATCTTAAACTGTGTTGGTATTTGGTGAGACTGTCCTTTTTTTTAAATGATCAATAGGATGTTTTCTGCAAACACTACAAGATGCACAGGTACAATTATTCCTTGACAAGACAAGCCCAGCAGGTAGATGATGTTTTTTTTTTTTTTAGCTTTCATCTTTTCTTTTGGAAACTTCCAAGGAGCGTGTTGAAAATCCATTGATCTAGTTGGGTGTCCTGGAAGTGTAGTCTTGTACCTACACATTTCAGATTGTCTCATTTCTTGCTTACAGCGGGCCTCAGAGCCATCCTCACAACACCCTGACTGTGTTTCTGTTAGGATCAGAAAGCAAAGCTATTACACACTGGAGGGTTTGTCTCAATCACACCGAATGGCTATGAATTTTAAATGTGGGATTAGAGCCCACAGAGGAGCGGGCACATGGGGGAGACTCAGTCAGTTGAGTGCTAATTTGATTTTTTTTTTTTTTTTTTTTTACAAACTGCCCCTACAACACATTGTTAGGAGGGAAGATGCATTGCTTGTAGTCTGTCGGTTGCTCCCCCAGCTCAAACCACAACAAAAACAAATTGGCTCTCCAAAAGAACATTATTGCATTGTGATGAACATCCTATTTTCCATGTGAATGCAGCAGCAGCTTACACCTGCTTTTTGCCACGTTGTGACGTAATGTTAGACTCATTATGAATAAATCACTTCTTCTCTTAAGAAGGTTTATGCAGAAACTTTCATTTAATCTTCCTCTACTATTTTGTTTGGAGCTTATTTGATTGTATTGAGTACATTGGTCAGATGTGAAGGGGACAAACAACACTCAAAGTAATATACCCCATCCTCCAATCTTAAACCTCTGCTTGACCTCTGCTGTCAAAGGGCTGCTTCCAAAGAGACACACAGCATAGAGGAAGGATGTGAAGTGAGAAGGTAGAGCGAGACAGTGTCTGCCACTGCCTCCTTAAACTGGCTATTTCAGGGTTTCAGGCTCAGCGGCGTTAATAATAAAGTTTTAATTTGAGCATTGTTATAAAGCATAATAAGCCATTTTATTAAGACTTCAGTATTTTGCAACCAGTGGTTTAAAAAAGGCTTAATGGAGCATGTATTCATCTGACTCATCAATGTAGGAATGACAAATTAAAATATTATCTTTCTTCACGTGATAGACATTATCACAAAACATTATAGTCAAATGGCCTCAAAGACTGGGTTGTCTTTGTGCTCTTTCTGTACATACATTGCTGTTGGAGTCAGCCAGATTTCAGAAAGCAAGCAAGCAGCCGAACCAAAAGAGGAGTTGAACAGAACTTAGCTGTGTTGACATGAAGCGTAATGCATTAAGTGTGTGACAAACGTCCTCCTTGTATCATTTTCAAAACACGATGAATTAACTCAATTGTGTTTTTCTTTTTGTGGTAGCAATTTTTTTTTTAACTAAATGCAAAGATGCTGTGGATCATCATTAATCTGCCTTCAGCAGTTAATCTGTTAATTGCACAGACCACAAGTCATCATTTTGTCATGTCATTAGGTTCTTTCACAAGGTGCCTCAATCCAGGACGTAGATGTGTTCTGGCCCCATTAGTCGATTCAGAAGACAAACCGAGGCAGGAGGAAGAGGCATCTGTCGAAGACAAATGTGCCTCAGGGCTGCTGAGCAAGGCAGTAGCAGAGCTGGACTGGCCGGCATGTGTAAAAGTAAGCTGTGGTGCCATGGCTCAGTAATGTGATGAACCTTGATATTAGTGTGCGACTGCCTGCTCACAGGACTTAACAACAAAGAGATATATTGCCATGGGAATATTGATGATGATGCACAAAACGTTGTGTTAACTCACTTTGCTCAAGTGAGGGAGATGTTTGTGACATTTTTAATGTGTTGAGGTCCACTTCAGCCCAGCTGAGTTCTGCTCCACGCCTCTTTTGGTTCTGCTCTGCTTGCTTCACTTCTGAAAACTCTCATTTGAGTTTGGCCGGTTTCATGTGTGATTTATGAATGGATAGAGTGATCATAAAAACCAGTTGGTCTGTGCAGCCGTTTCACAGAACTGTCGTTATTATAATTAACCTCTTGAGACACGATGCTGGCATACCTTATCACGTGTCCACCATTTTGGATTTGTTACTACCTCACTTTGAGGCACATAGGTGCATCAGTGGATGTTTGGCTTTGACACCCCTTACTGCCTTGTCCATTCAGAAATCAAACCAAGGTGGCCGGAAGGGATCTAGGTCCTGGCTTGAAGTTTTCTGTGAACATTTCAACCATTGTGATGGAATAATCTTCTGAAATTCCCTTTGTCTCGATTCAAACTACATTAGAGCCAGGTTATCTACAGTATCTGAGTGATAATAAACTTTTTTTTTTTCCTTCCTGTTGTTTCAGGTGGAGATATGGAGGACTCATCTCCATACGAACCTGTTGCCCCCAACCGGCAGCCTGATGTTTCCCGCTTGGCATCCATCTCTTCAGGTATGCATCACAGATTTAAACTAAAACCAACTCTCATCAGAGGATAACACAAGGTTTCACAGCAATTAAAATAATGAAACGTAAGGAAGTGTTGCTCTTTTTTCCACTTATAGCATTAAACTTATTTTGCTTTTGAAAGAACTGGATGGTTATTGTTCAGTTTGTCTTCTGATATACAATGACTGTCAGGTTGTATACATCCTCTGTGCACCGGCCCACATTTTTCCCTACCATTGATTTTGCTTTCAGTTTGATTTCTACTTTGGTTTACTAATTAAACAGCCAAGCAGAGTTATAGCCTGCTCTTTAATCTACTGGTAACCATTGTTAAGCTATCAAATCAATGCCACTCTCCACATTTTTTTAACCCACAGGTGCCATAGTTAATGCATCACAGAGCTGCATGCTGTAAAATAGATGCAATTAAACAGAGGGATGACACCTGTCCAAGGTCAAAGTTGATATGTAAAGTCAGGGAAACTCATTTACCACAAATACATTATCCAGTTCTGACAAAAAAAAATTTTTTTTTCCAAAGGATAGGCTACACTGTTCATCTTCTCTCTTTGGACAACAGCAATCAGAAAACACTAAAACAATGTTTTTGTTTCTCTCTCGTTTCTTTTTGTATTCTAAAGGAACAAGTTAAAAAAAAAGGATTTTTAGGTCAAATTCTTCTAAACTTTAAAGAACAACTTATTACTTGTTTTTAAAAATTGTTGTTTAGTAAAACAAATAGCAGACACTAAAAGAAGAATAAAATATACAGATGTGATTAGTGCAGAGTTTTTAGAGAAGAATATGAAATACCTCTCTTGATTTGGATTGAATGAGTACAGTCATCTTAAAAACACTGAAATGGTGCATAATGCCATCAAGGCTACACAGTTATTATTTGTTAATGTTACAAGTGCTAATACTTAATATATTTACTCATTTTTTTAGCCAGCTTTGTTTTGTATTTGTGCAAAGTTAACAGAGTTTTGTCTGTCAGGTGCTCAGTTTTACTTTTTATGCCACAGTGAAACTACCTTCAATAAATACATCTTAACATATTCAGAGATAAAAACCATGACTCCTCTGTTGAGTTTTCCTCTCAAAGAAAATGCAAGTATATTTTTGCTTGTTTAGTTTATGTTTTTTAGGAAACTTTGTTATGTTGGAATTACCAGCGGTGAAAATCTAGAGTTAGTTTCAGAGTGGAAACAAAGAATGTAGTAGAATGAAACTGAAGATATTTGGAAACAACAGAGGGCTCATTATTAGAGCTATTTCATTTTAGTTATGTCTTCCATTCTTTCTCAGGTAAAAAAAAAAGATAAATTTACTCTCCAAAACTCCTTTTTAGCCACAAGCTTTGTTTCATTATTTAATATTTCTGAGTAATTGATTGTGGCACTGAAAGAAAGCCTCAGGCAAACAAATGAATAATTACTCACTTGTTTTATGAACGTTTCGCTTCAATTACTAAGCCACTCCAAAGTATTTATAATCATGTCTGTAAATGTTACTGGATGAAGACCAGGGGAATATATGACATCTAGCTGCTTTATGAAGAGAGGGGAAAGTGTATTCTCCAAGAGGAAAGGTAGAACATTCAAAAATAATCTCTGCTATTCTAAAAGTTTTGATCTAAAATGAAGATAAGAGATGGAAGTTGTAGTAGAAATGAAAAAGGATTATGTGAAGAAAATGAAACACAATGCGAAGACTCTGTTTGTGCATGAAACCCAAGTGACCCACACATGGACTTCTCTTTGTAATAGCAAATTTGGTAACACTTTACAATAAGGTACACAAAATTTGATTAACTACTAGGGAACACCTCAGGAACGTATCAGGAACAAATCAGGATCTAATGGGTAGTTAACCAGTACTTACTGGGGAACACACAGCCAAGCCTTATTAGGGGACTACTGGTTATTTACCTTGTACTTTGTAAATGAAAAGGAACTAATCACGAACTAATGGGTAGTTACCAAGGAAACCAAAGAGGAACGAACCAGGAGCT